AGTGCAATGAAAGCTGATCTGAGCTGCTCCTAGCCTGCTCCAGAATGTAGTTTTAGCTGCTCCTATCCTGCTCCAAAACAGCTGCCTCAGCTGCTCCTGTGGCTGCTCCCAAGTACATCTCATGAGTTCCACCCCTGTATATGCAAATATCCTTTCTAAAATCTGAAAAAAAAAAAAAAAAAAATAAATAAATAAAAGAATTTCAAATGATGAGTTAGGGCAACTCTACCTGACATATACTCTTCCAAAATATGTAGTTGCAGTTTAATTTTGAAAATTTTACTGCAATGCAGGTGTTAACATTCATGAAGTTTCCATGTCTATTTAAATACACTAGGCGCAATCTTGCACTGTCCCGCTTTGAAAGTGTGCTTGTCTCCTATGCACGTGACTGTGGTATTTGTACTTCTTGAAATGCTGATTGTGGTGGGTTAGCCTTGATTAGTGCGTTTCTCTTCGAGCACCGGTGTACTGCAGAAAAGCAACACTCGCGGAGCTCGTCTTCGCAGATGTTGCTTCCCCCGCTGTGCACCGGTGCTCAATAAGAAGTGCACTCAACGGGGCCAACCTGCCACTTGGAAAAATATAAATGTCATAGTTAATTTTGAAGCAAATATCGAATAGTGTATTATTTAAAACTACTATTCGAAAATTGAAATATTCGCACAGCACTACAAGTTATCAGTATAAAAGCTTCAGAGTAAATGACCAAAATATGGAACCAATGTGTGCAAAGTGCTAATTGTTTTAGAGTTTTGCTTTAGAAGAGTGACGGCTGCAGATGCCTGCAAATAGAGCGCATCTAATTATGCTCGAAGCACGCTCCTTGGGGCTTCAGTGATTTAGCAAAAGGTCTGTTTATTTTCTCTGCCAAATTAGTTGGAAAACCTCATGTGACATGTAGTTAGAACTGAAATAATAAACAAAAATCTAAAGCATTAGGCTATTCCACCTCATATTCTGACTTGTCATAAAAAAGTGAAAGCCGTTTACAACTCCCTGTAACATCGAATTAGAGCGCAGCTCTTGAGGAGGAGGAGGGAAGGGTACTGGGGGGGGGGGGGTCACGTGACCTTGGGGGTCACGTGACGATGCCGATGATGTCATCAGTGACGTCACTGATGACATCATCAGTGACGATGATGATGCGGACTCCGATGACGTCATCATCGATGATGACGATGCGGATGTCAGTGACGTCATCAGTGACGTCACTGATGACGTCATCCGTGACGTCACTGATGACGTCATCCGTGATGATGACGATGCGGATGCCGGTGACGTCACTGATGATGTCATCAGTGATGATGATGATGACGATACGGATGCCGGTGAAGTCATCAGTGACGTCACTGATGACGTCATCAGTGACGATGATGATGCGGATGCCGGTGACGTCATCAATGACGATGACGTCATCGGGGAGGTCACGTGACCTCGGGGGGGGGGGGGGGGGGGGGTCACGTGACCTCGCGGGTCACGTGACCTCGGGGTGACCTTGGGGTCACGTGACATTGGGGTGACCTTGGGATGACCTTGGGGGTCGCGTGACCTTGGGGTGACCTTGGTTACGCCGACGCCGCTCAAGCCGGTAACAGGCCCCTAAGAGCTGCACTCTAAAAACAAGCATTTTAATCTTTTTTTTATTTTGTGGATTTGTTTTGTGTAGCGGGCAGTCCACGAAGCCTCAAAGAGCCTTTGCACCCTACAACTCGGCAGTGCAAAATACTTGTACAGTCAAACAGTTATACAGTGTAGACCGCATATAACGTATGTCGCGGGAGTCGCGAAAATCCGCACTATAAGCGGTACCGCGCTATAACCGAAACAACAATTTTTCAGGCCAAAATGCATGCCATGAGACAACTTACCTTTGTAAAGGAATTTATTTTAGGCTAGATGAAAAATAAAGCTTAGTTTGAGGAAAGTCTTTATTTCACCAGACTAGTACACTTCTCTCTCAAGTGTGTCACACAGTTTGAAAAAAATGAGCGACTTTTGCCTGGCGCAGCCTTTTAACGGCGTCGCGGGTTGCGGACGGACGTTGCGAGCGTTCAGGATTGCTAACCCTAATCACTTTTCTCCGGCGATGAAAACGCGTGAAAATTCGCATCCTTTATACAGTACGCGCCAGTAATACCTTCAACTTGAGCACAGGCATGAAATGCTCCAAATAAGAAATCCGAGCGATGTTCGAAAACATAAATGCTTAGAAAGCACCACTGTAGCACCACTGTAGTCGAAGTAAAAAAACACGACGACACGGGCGTTTCTGCCGTCTTGAGAGTGCCGCTACAGCATCGCCGCACGAGTAGGTGGATCTTCCCTTCTAGTACGTGCTGGGTTATCATAGCGACACACAACGAAAATTTACAGTCAAGGATAGCGCTTTTACACGGAACGATGAGTTTCTACCACGCCGTCTACGTCGACGACCAAAACCGACGCCATGTTTGCTGATAGAAGCAGCCAGCCGGCCGGCCCGCGACCGGCATGCAACGCGCGCGAACACTTCTTTTCGATCTGCGATTGGTCTGTTGTTGCGGTTGTTTCCAACGCTGCGGAGGGACGCACGCACGTGAACGACACGTACATGCATCCCTCCGTCGCTATGGCAACCAAAGCCTCCCTCTTCGCTTCTCCCCGCTTCTTTGAGCAACCTTCTTGCCCCGTGAGTGCCGCTTTCGGCTTGCGCCGTTATCTAGTGTCGCACAGGGAAGCGTGCTCTCTGCGTCGGTCAGTCGGCGCGGTCGCCGGGCTGTTCCAAAAATCGCACTATAACCGGTGTTTCCCTTCGTGCACCTGCATTTTAAGCGGTATGTAATTACATGGAGTTCTATGGGAGGCAAACCGGTGGTTCAGAAAGGAGCGTTATACCCGGTCCTGCACTATAAGCGGTTACGTTGTAAGTAAATCATGTCGTATTACACCTGAGACTGCAGTGGAAGAAATCGGAAGAACTTTCAGTACCACCAGCTCGCCTGCACTCTCACCGTCTTTTCACGTTGTAAGTGGTCTATGCTGTATAACGAAATCTGCAGAAATGGCAATATTTTTCGTAGTACAGGTAACCTTGTTGTTGAGCTCAGAAAATCAATTGCGTGAAACCGAATTTCTGCTATCGCACATCGATGTATCTGTGCAACATTTGAGGTGTTTTTGGAAAAAGTATGGTGCCAAATATTGCGTGGGCAACATCAGAAATGAGGTTTCGTACGTAGACAATTTGCATATCAAAAGAGGGAAATATGGCCGAGTGTGCTATCGCATCGCATCCTGGAGCGGGCAAGAGCTCACACTCCAGAATCTGGGCATCTTAAGCTCGATTATCCCAATTTCTTTCTACATGAATATTGTATTGCCACGCATTCGTGTACTACTCACCACTGCGTGATGCAATTTAAAGACACCATGCTAGCGGTCGTACCGCCACTGGCAAAGTCTGTCACATACAGCCGAGGCGCCAGGCACTCCTTGCTTCAGGCTAATTTCCTGCTGTCCAAACTTCCACACAGCAAACTTAAGTGACTTAACGAAATATGAATCGCAGCAATCAGTCCACCGACATTGACCCCCCGATCACGCTCGCCGACTGCGTAAATTTGGTCTTTTCTAAATCGGATGGCGGTTTGCACCGCTACGTGTCATTCGGAGGAGGCTCTCGAAGCGACTGTATTGCTCCCGTAGAAGTGGACACGGCAGCACTGCTGGCTGTACCGTAGCAGTACGGTAGAATCGGCCACACACTCGGTACGTGACAGTTGCAGTGCGCGGTGCAGCGAGGAGCAAAGATGGGGAAACGCGCACAACCGAGCCGGCTGAGTCACCGAGTCCTTTTTCCCATCTGTTTGGCACAAAGAGGAGGCGCATTTTCCTGTGCGGCTCTGCTTAGATTTTGGCATAGCGGGAGTCGAGTCACAGATCACGTTTCTTGGACTCCATATTATCGCTGCAGGGCAGAACGATTTGAGGCTCAGATCGAGGAAGATTGGGAATCTTTGATGTTGTCAAAAACCGGAGTGTCAGTCGAACAAATGCCAAGACAGCATGAAAGAGATGAAACTAACCGTCTAAACAAAGCACAAAAAAAAAAAAAAAAAGCTTGGAGCGGAGTGGTACACACTTTATCAGCAGTGAGCAAAACGGAGGTTTGCACAAATGCGCACAGCGGAGGCGCATCCAACGCTGTCGTGCTTCACGGCCTCGGTGTTGGGTCCAAATAATTTGTTAGTTTGCAACCGTGTGCCTAGAGGGCACCATGTGACTATGTTGCTGCGTACAGGCTTCCTATGCAGCAACATAGTCATGTAGCGCCATCTAGGCACAGGGCTGCACACTAACAAATTATTTGGACCTAGTACGTGCAGCGCAGCAATGGCGGAGACGACGCAAAGGTGGGGCAACAGCAGTGCAGCGGCAGTGTAGGCCATTGCCACCGTTGCAGTATTTCTGTTCTTTACTCGCATCACTTGAGACCAACCGTTCATGTAAAATCAATTACTTTTCACCTAGGAAAATCATAGTACCAGCCACTTTTGCTTTGTGGAGCCACGCAAATGCTTTGTTGAACAGAAATATTTGTTAAACAGAAATTCATTGTGTTAAACAGAAATTCATTGCAGTAATCAGAGAAACATATTGAACACCTAGGAGGGCTGGCTGGGACTTTATTTTACTTCATTAAATGGGCATTTGACTATACGAGACATGACACACTCTAAAACAATTAAACAAAACAGACATCAGCTCATGTCGTCTGCCAGTGGAAGCCATATGCAATGTTAAAAATATTTACCATGCTACTATTTCAGTGAATGTCAACAATGAATATATGTTAAAGTAATAAGGTTGATAGCTTAGCTAGTTGGATGTTACTGAACGTATCGAGGTAAAATAGTACTCTGTTCGATCCCATTCTTCTTCCTATCATTGTGTTGGCACTATTTTACCTCAGTCTGTTAATGTAATGCATTTCATGGGGTCTTGTATCGCCTCTGCAGGAATTCAATGCCGACACCACCATCGTGGGCACTTTCTTCCTGGTCTCATCGGCCGCCTTTGCAATCTGCTCTCCACTGGTCGGTTATGTCTGCATGAAAACGGTAAGTGTCTCAGCAGCTTTCGAGGAAGTGAAAGCACGTCAGGTAGGCAAGCTTTGGCATGTGGGCTTGAGGAAGATGCTGAGAGGATTTCTGTTGAAGCAGAAAATTATCTCGGTGGTAGTTTTTAACGAGCTTGTTGTAAGCATTCATGCTTCGTACAAGGGCTGTCTTTTTTTTAAAGTTTTGATGAAATAGGTAGAGAAAGAAGTGATGAAAAATTTTTAGTAGACACAAAATGTAGATACATACTCTTGCTGTTTTTCATACAAATACTGCACAAATTAGGGCAGTTATTATGACATGACACAGGTTTTTGGATGTCCTCCCCGCAGAGGGTTGCCGCCGAGGTTCTCAGTCATTTCGTCGCGTGCGTCAGCAAGACCGTCACTTGCCACAGACGTGTGATGCTTATTTAAGAAACTGCGTGAAACTTCGGGAAGGACGGGCAGACGTCCTTGAGGGCGGGCATGTGAAAAAAAAATGTCTGTGGTGACCGACAGCCTCGCTCAACTCATGATGGAATGACTGAAAATCTGTCAGGTTATGTTCTTTGGGGAGGGCATCGAAACCTTGTGCCACATCATAATCACTGCCTAAATTTGTGTGATGATTATGTGGAGAAGTAGCTGGGGTGCATTCCATGTATCTTGTGCATTCCATGTGTATTAAGACATGTTTCATTACTCTTGTTTGTTTTTTTTACCAAATAGTTCAATGAAACTTTTATTTGTTGTTTTTGGTGCGCTGCAACATAAGAACTGCGAAAGTAGCTCCACCCACCCTGTTGAGTGCTTGATCGGGAGCTCGGAGGCTTACTAAGCATTGGGCAGTGTATTTCTCCTTTTGGGGGTGATTTTTAAATATGTTTCGATGGTCGCTTGTTTTTTTCGGTATGCTCATGCCGACCGATCTATGGCATTTCTCTTTGGGCGTCCAGAGGTCGAGCATCTCCTCAGTCCTTACGTTGCAGCATACTATGTGGTGGGCATTGAATCTGAATACTGCAGCATAAACAATGAGTCAGTTTTTTCTCATACAGCAATCCACTTGTAACGATAAGGAGAAAACCCAGAATTTCAGTCATTAAAACCTTTTATCATTGTATCTGGACTAGAAACTAAGCATTTCTAGTTTATAAACTCTAGAAACTGATCGTTATAAGCGGTACATCGTTACGTGTGGTATCGTTGTGAGTGGATTTCGCTTTAAATTAAAAGTAAGAAGCACGTGCCCTTGCAGAAGTTGGTGATAATTACAAAGACGGGGGGGTGGGCACTGGGCGCTTGTTCTGTCCGAGGGCAGAAAAACAGCAGAGCCACATGGTAGGGTGTGCCTCCGTTTCGTCTGAGTCAAAGGTGTATGCGAGTATGGTAGGGATCTGGCAGAACCCCTAATTTTTAGCTCTCGCCAAGCCTGCCTCGCGTCGGTGCTTTGTCGTCAGGCTTCGCCGCTTTGAGCCGACTTATTGGAGGAGTGGCTGATCTGAAGGATCCCGAGTTCGGTTATCTCGGTGGGCTCTGAAGACTTCCGGAGTGGGCGCTTGATATGTCCTTTGCCTACATTTGAAGTGTCCCAAAAGTAGGATGTGGGCGCTTACTGCGACACGGGTACAGTATTTTACGACACAGGCTCAGTATTTTACGGTAGGTTTATCTCCTCGTTGTCACAAGACGTGAAGTTGCTCGTTGTCTTCGGGGTCTGTGCTGACGTCATGGTCGCCAATTGCCAACCAAGGGTCTCTTCTCTTGGGTTTAAGGGATGTCGGGATTGTGGACTTTTAGGATTGAATAACTTGGCTGGAATCATGTTTAAGCGTCTACCTTTTTTGCGGTTTCCACATATCTTGGGGTTCAGGCAAGCCAGCTGGCACGCAGAGAGTAACTAAATATCAGTGCGTCCTATTTAAACCGGACGACGCGGAAATCTCCTTTACCTACGGGGGCGACCCGCAGTGCCGAAAGCGCGCGATATGTGAAGTCTTTGGTCCTGGGCTTATTACAGGTCAGAGCCACTAAAAGCTTGTTTTTAGTCGAAATACAAAATATAAGTGGCACGAATTGCTTCAGTTATTTATCAATGCAGTTTTTGTTCAGTATTTTAGATCAGAAAAGAAACAAATGCAAGTTATAAAGTACGGAAACAAGAAATGACCCGTCGACAACCCGCCACCAAACGGTGGAAAAGGCGGCGCATACTAAAAAGGGGTTGTGGGATCAGGCACCGACGAGCGGCAAGCGTAGAAAGGTCCCAGATGTACGCAGCGGCGCTGCGGTCATATACGGGCTGGAGGATCCGACCGGTTCTGGGCGTTCCAAATGCCTTCAGCGAGCAGGTGTGACTTGCGGTTTGGCCGTTTGGCGGTATGGCAGTGCAAAGTGGCTCCCGTTATGAACTGATCTTTACCCCTGTTTGCTATCGTTTGTGGTGGCCAATGTGAAGTGTCATGCCGAATGAGTGTTTAATTGCGAGGCAAATACAATGCGAGCCGCCCTGGCTGCCCGGTTCATACAGCCTATCCAGAACATGGTTTAGTGGCGCCCTCTCGAGCCGTCGACACGGAGTGCAGCAGTCGTGAGCGCTCGCTGAGCTCACTACTCCTCCTCTAGTTCACGGCCACTCAAGCGACCAAGGACGTCATGAAGGAGGCTATTTTTTTGCTTGTTTTTGTAACTTTAATTTGCCTATAACTTTTAAATTAAAGCGTAATTTGAGAAAAGAAAAGTTTGAGTTACTACGTTCAGTGCGCTCAGGTTCTGTGCAAATTAAAAACGTAAAAAAGTTCTCGCAGGGCCAAACCGCAATACACAAAAATTACAACATTGTTAAAGTTCACTCGTTATCAAAACTCGATAGCCTCTCACAGTCACACATCTGCACTTTCTCCACTCGATTCCTCAGCATCGCACTCCATGTGCCTTTGATCTGAACTCCTCTGAAGTCTCTTAGTTAACTTCCCCCCTTGAGGCTCACGCTCTTAGCATAGCTATCCTCATCTCCCTCTCTTTCACGCTCTCCCTCTAACATGGATTGTCCTCTCCGAAGGACGGCTGCACATATGCCGACTAGCAAAGTCGAATAACAACTCAAATTGGCGCCACCAAACCCAAACGGCCTTCCGCCGCCGACTCTGTAAACATCCTAATTATCGACCCCCCCAAACGTACGTGATACCTCTTGTGCCCACAGTAGCCGATTCCCGGTACATCCCCTACATGTCAACGACACAGGATGGTACGAGCCATCAACGGCACAATGAGTGTATACAAACCGACCGTGGAATTAGGGACGGGCCGCCGCATCGGTCCCCTGTCCCCCGACTGCCACGGCCACGCAGCCTCGCCGAGCAGTCACTACCAAAGGGACTCCTCACTCAAGCCAGGCGTGCATCTCGAACCAAAGAAATACACTGCACTCCTGCGATCCTGAAATTCCAGCATGTTACACAGGCTACATACAGAATTACACGGCAGCTTTGTTTAAATCTAAGTAAAAAAATGAAAGCCGTTTACAACTCACTGTAACGCCGAATTGGAGCGCAGCTCTTGAGGAGGAGTAGGGGAGGGTACTGAGGGGGGGTCACGTGATCTCAGGGGGTCACGTGACCTGAGGGGAGTCAAGTGACCTGGGGGGTCACGTGACCTCTGGGGGGGGGGGGTCACGTGACCTCCCCCCCCCCCCCCCCCCCCCCCCCGAGGTCACCGAAGGTACCTGAGGTTCTCCCGAAGGAGCCCAAAGTCCTCCCGAGGTCCACCCGAAGAAACCCGAGGTCCTCCCGAGGTCCTCGGGGGGGGGGGGGGGGGGGAGTGAGGTGACCCCCCCCCCCCCCCCCCTAGGTTCGCTGAGGGTACCCGAGGTCCTCTCAAAGGAACCCGAAGCCCTCCCGAGGTCCTCCCGAGCTCCTCGGGGGGGGGGGGGGGGGGGGGGGGGGGGTCGCGGTTACGCCGACGGCGACGCCGCTCGAGCCGGAAACGGGCGCCTAAGAGCTGCGCTCTAAAAGTAAACAAATTTTTTCCCCTTTCAGGAGCAACGTATTCCCATCATGATCATTGGGTTGATCATCATGGCAGCTGCTCAGCTCTTCATGGGACCTGCCCCTTTTCTTGGCATTCCAAGGTATGCAGTGTCTCTACCGCACATTGGTCTTCCTTAGACTAAAGTCATTGGTATGATACAGAATCAGTGCTACATTCTTGCAGTTGTCAAAGATTGGAATAATATCAAGTAAGTGTCTGGAACTCAGGTGTTGCTCCCAGTTGTTTTTGAAACTAGAAACAGAAAAATGAGTGCATCTTGAGAATGCCTCAATCTTAATGGTTTTGCTATGGGACAGGCTTCACTGTTAACGAAGTCTTGGATAATTAAATATATAGGCCCGAGGGATGCATCTATATCTCATTTCGTGCGATTTTTATAATTCCTCATTTTGCATCTGGGCAGAACAAGAACGATAGTTAAAGGCGAAATAAATTAAACACAATGCGTCGGAAGACTAAGTCTAAGCTCATTATAGCAGACCTGGATACAACAAAAATTTGGATATAACTTATTGATTTGTGAAGTTCGGCTGGGTTTCCTCTACATACCATTCCCCCATTCAACTTCATATCTGCATACAACATACTCTTCTTAGAACAGACCGAAATCTTGGTCAAGATCAAGGTCTGTCATAACGAGCTTAGACTGTAGTAGCACGGGGAGGTGTCTCAACTGGCAACAACGGATTTCTGCTCTTTTTCTTACTTGTCTGCTTTTTGCATCCACAGTCATACTATTTCTTAAGGCGATGTCAGATATGCAGGCTTTTTTTGCCTTGCCATGCTTGATATCCTTTAGTTTTCCCTATGTTTTTCGTAGGGCTGTGTCTGGATGACAGAACCCAAGTTACAAATATGAAAACCCTGTTTCAGCAACCTGTGGGGGACATTGGCGACATTGGCAGCCCTGGGCATTTCATTTGCTATTGCCTATGTGCCTACAATGGAAAGCATCATTCGCGCAGCTACGTAAGTGTTCCTTTTGTCCTGTAACTCATGTCATGTGATGGGCAGATCCAATGTGCCCCAAAGCATATCCCAAAACAAACACCATGCTCATGCATGTGCCGTGTGATAACCATTTGGAATTGGAACATAGTAAAGCACATAGAAGTTGTTGTTGTTTTTATCCAAAGAACTGCTATTTCTATTGAATCAAAACTCAAAGCGTTACTTTGTACTAGGTGAGCAAACTCTCTACACTTTTAGGCAACACCTTGTGATTTCAAAATAGAGGCAATGGATTCTCATTAGGGGTGTGTGAATATGACATTTTTATTGGAAATCATATACAAATATTAAGAATTGACTGTAAACCTAACATAATACTGTTAAATGCAAATATTTTACATTTAATGTAAACTGAGCTTGGGTTCTTTTATAACTCCAGCTGGAATTCTTTTTCAGCAAACATACTTTTGAAAGGGAACATTTTTAGTGTTTGAGAAACCTTTCCCATATTTGTGTTTAATAGAAGTCCCTGATGAGACTAGTTGGACAGGACATAATGCAACCATGTCAAGAAAAGCACTCACTATTTTATTTACTCCTGTATAGGTAGACATTCTTTTAAAGCTATAGCTTGACGTGGGAACCCTTCATGGACCTTTCTTTCTCGTGTCAGTCTGACCGCACGACCTCACTATGTCACGTGACCTAAGGCTGCTTGACAGAATCATGTGATGTCAGGTCACCTGACATTAATTTTCTGCCAAATTTATTGGGGAAATCATCATGGTGTCGCTTGAAGTGACGTCACAAACTCCCAGCTAAATTTAGTGGGGAAATTGCATTCGATGGATGTCTAAGCTAGGCGATATTTTTTTTATAGCCTTGTGCCTTTAGATTTGGGGTTGAATGTATTAACTGCAGAAGGTTGACCTTCTATAGTGAGCAAAATTTCTAGACCGTGGAAATCGACCAATATACTCCTCGGCGGCGGCCGTTCTTCCGAGCTTGAGGTGCATGGGCCGGTGTGAAGCAGTGAAACTTGACTTGAGAGCGCTGGTGTGATGCGGCGAAACATGATGCAACAAATTGGGGAGTTCTTTATGCATTATTTATCATGATGTAACACCTGGGACTGGTGCAGAAAAATTAAGAAGCTTTTAACTAGGGCTAAACGTTGATTAAAATTTTAACCCGGTTAATTGCCACCATTTATTTGGTTAATCAGTTTCGTTCATTCCCATGCATGTTTACGGTAAAATCCCAAAAGAACACCCACCCTAAAATGAAGAGATAAATTGTGAAAAACATGGGGTCTTTGAAAATGTCACAGCAAAACTTTATCGAAAATTACTGGTAACCACCGGTGCACCCACTATAAACCACATGACGCAGGAACTGATACCGAAGATTGTGGACAGGGCAAATTCAAGTTTCACAATGCAATAAACAAGCGGAAATTAGCTACAAACTCTTATTTCACGGGAAAAGATACCACAGGTTGCGGATGCGACAGATTCGCGTCTCACGGTGCGAAGGACCCGCGGAAACCCGCTGAGAACTCTCGTCTCCCGGGAACGGACACAGCAGATTCAAGTTTTATGGTGAAATAAACACTCGGGGACCCGCTACAATCTTGCCTGTCACGGATGTCACAAAAACTGTGATGTCACAAAAACAAATATTGCAGATCGCGGATGCAGCAGAATCGCATTTCACGATGCAATATACATGCGGGAGCAACTCTCGTGTTACGGGAGCCGATATCACACCGAACCGGTGCCGCAGATCGCACCGTTGATGCGCGATTCCTGCCAGACATGGCTTGACGTCCGACGGGAATCATTGGGTGGGCGATGTTTCGGCATTTTTATGTTACAGATACCTCTCAAGGGAGGGCGTCCTTACAAAATTTTACAACAAATGTTTTTAAAAAAAGTCAAAATTATTTTTGTTTTTGTTGAATATGTGATAACAAGTGCAATGTGATATTTTAATCAACCTCGATGTGTAGTTGAGAACAGTCAAAAGAGCCTCCCATACTCGCCAATTATTACTTCAGCCACAGAGGCAAAGAGGCTCATTCATTTTCTCCAGCAATAGCAAACTCTTCTGATTGTTCACAATACTCCCTGTGGCGCTAAATGGACACTTGCTTGGCGTTGAATCGGCTGGGACACGTATAACCTTCTTCACTTGTTTGGTGGTACATATCTTGCCCCTTCGCTTTACATTAGGTCAAAATTTCACCTAAAGTTTGCCTTCATGCAGGTGTTCTTGTCCACGTCTGCGTGATGAAAGCGTTGAATTATTAATTTTTTTTTGTTTGTCAAGATTTAGTTGAATAACTGGTTAAAAAAGTTAGTCACAATTAAAGCAATACTTGATTGATCGGTAGGTTAATCAATCAAATATCCAACCCTACTTTTAACCATTTCAATGCCGCTCGCCATTTATCCTGGAAAATATTTTCTTTACAATCTTTGGTTGCCATACATACTGTAAACTATAGAATTACGCTAACATTGTAAAAATAACTCAATATGGCACAATATATTCCCGAAAAAAGCTAGGGTTTTAGATGTAAACATTTGTGTACACAGCGTTTGAATGGGTTAAGTTGAGGAAAAAGACAACAGTAGGAGAATGTCTCAAACGCAGCTGAAATACTTTATTTCTCTTGCTCCTTATACACCCGATGCCACAAAAAGTGTATCCATAAAGTGACCTTTAAAATTTAGGTAGCTTGAAATTCAGGTAACACATCCCGCTTTTTTATTATTTCATACACAATGTGAGCATCTTTTTCCTTGGAGTTTGCATTCTGTTCGGTGTAGACATCTAATAAATGTGGCTGGAATATATTTTTAGTATTAATTTATTCCTTTTTGTGGATACTACATCCATAGCACTGTTCCCATGTAAAGCGCAAATCAACCTTCGGCATCAGCATTGCTTTGAAGTGTTGTCTCTTGCAGCTGCATCTTCTCCGCCGTTCATATCTTGTTCATTCAATGGAGAAAGCACCCTTTACACCAACTCGTCCTTTTGTTTAACCACATCTTCAATCAATTCGGAATTCGGGGGAGTCATAGCTGGACAAAACACTGTCCCCCAAGCACGCTGGTGGGACAGCAGGACCCGTCCTGCTCGAATCGGGACATCTGGTCACTCTACGTATCCACGAAAAGGACGGTGACGTCAGCGTCAAGTGTACCATATAAGGAGCGAGAAAAATGAATGATTATAGCTGCTGGAATGGACAGTTGCGCTTGTTAATATAGATGCATAATGAAAACGGCGCAAGAATACAAGGACACCGAGGGGAGAACGGCACCTTGTCCCATGTGTTCTCTCCTCTGTGTCCCCACATTTTCGTGCAGTTTTTTATTGTGCAATATAGCTGCATTTGAGACGTTCTCCCACTGTTGTCTTTCTCTTAAACCAGGGGTCTCAAACACGAGACCCGCGACTCGCTGGGACGCGGCCCACAGGCAACCAGCTACGAGTCCCGTTTCCCATTTCTCGAGTGCTAGAAATAGCATACGCCATAGTGATCTCATCTCGTCTAATCGTTTTCACTCGAAAAGCAGCTCTGCCCTTTTAACGTATTCACATAGTTTATACTTATTTGTGTTCATTTGACCTTTGTTTATGTTTATTTTTTGCTTCCCAGCTTTTTTTGTAATTTACAGCTGTTCTGCTACTAGGCTGCAAACTCGGGCTATTCGTTTAAGGATACATCTCGGCTGCGCGAACTCTCGATCAGCCGGAGCGACTGCCAAAAATAAAGATACGAGCTCGGGATTCTTGCCTTCAAAAAATATCGCCATTAAAAGACAAGTATTTGCTCAGAGTGTTGTAACAAAAATCGTCATAAAAGCAAAAACTGCCAAATTAACTAGTTTTTTTTTTTTAGAAACATGTTGAGCTTGTTTAATTACTTAGTGAATTGAGTAACGGGAACGGCGGTGTATTTCTTCTCTTGTTTCATTAAAAATGGCAGCACGTTGGCGGGTAAAGGTCAGGGCCCGAAGTGGTCATAAATTAAATGAAACTGAAAGACTTCACTGGCAAAACTGGGATTTTACAAAAAGCGTAAAGAGTGAGGTTTCTTCTCTTTCAAAATTTTCTAACCCCTTCCCCCCCACGTCTTACCGTTGGTCCGCTACCTTTCCGGTGTGGGCTGTTTTGCCCCCACACTCTAATAAGTTTGAGACCACTGTCTCAGACTTAAAAAGATACTTAATTTTTCCACACCAGAGTCTCAGGTGTCATGTAATGATTAGTTATCACCAGCCCACCTGCACTCACACTGTTATCGCATTATTCATACCTTTCTAACGCTCGTGAAACTTGAATGCTTCGAATAGTGAAAGCGTGTTGTGCATCGAATCGAGTGGCAAAAACTGTTTGCGAATGATTGCACGTTATGAATATAGACATTCCCCAATTCTAGTTTCTCTTACAGATAAAGCTGTGCAATCAAGTTTCACTAGTGGAAAAGAAAAAAAAAACTAAACTGCTACAGTCACTGGCAGTTTAAGGAACGCCGGGCATGGCGAGTTCCATGCATCTTCAAAATAATCGCAGATCTTGGACATTTTCTTACATTCAAAATAATCACAGATCATGCAGTGTGATCTGTGATTATTTTGAATAAAATTGAATTAAATTGAACTGAATCTTCTTATCGCTTTGCGGCGATTAAGGTTATATTAGAATACCGAAGAAGAATTGCAAATGAAGAAGCATGAACATAGTTTCATTTCATCTCATTTACTAACCCCTATGGGCCCTGTTAGGGGCATTACGTAAGGAAAGGGCAACACAGGGAATACAGGGAAAGCCATGCTTTGCGTTCCTTAAGTTATCTGTGACCACGGAAAAATACCCCTTAGAGGAAAACCTCGGCCTTCCTATGCTCAGACGTCGGCTGATCTAGCGATTTAACGGATGCCTCGATACGCGGCGTGCGGTGAAACTCGACTTGTATTGAACATTTGCATAACAAAGGTCATTCAGCACCTCCAACTGCGGGTCATCTTTCAAGAAAATGGCTTTGCGAAAGTGTAGGTGCAACGCTCTAAAGCTGGAAAAACTATGTAGTAGCATAGAAAACTATGTGTGCTTCTTTGTTACGAATGCTTAGAGAAGCGGGATCTTTTATTATCATCGCCTTCTTTTTGAACTTGGAAAGAAAAAGAATGGGGCAGAATAGTCAAAACTGATTTGCAGTGCTCCCATTTGGGACGACGCAATAAAATAATGTTTGGCGTATGAGGCTTGTTTATTTGTGGCTTTTTGTAAATGCTAAGAAGTTACTTGTTAGCATTCCCACAAAAACAAAAATGTTGTGTTTAGTTTGAGCGTACGTTCCTCCTTTCAGAGTAGTACACTGGAAAGGACTTTGGTTTTTATACACATAAGTGAATTTAAGTCTAAATCTGCGTGAATATAACGGATGTCAGCAGCTAAGAGTGTTGCCAACTGATGGTGACTTCCATCTTTCTGCTCCCAGGGACGGTGGCATGGAGGAGGATATTGGAACTTACGCGCTCGTGTCCGGCCTCTGGAACTCCATGTATTCCCTCGGGTATGTATAGGAAGCTCGCCGGCCAATGGCACCTTATCAACTAGTTCAGTCAACGATTCACCAACCACTGGGTTGTCTGTTATGCAAAACTGTACCTGTTTTTGAAAGTATCCTTAGTTTTGTCAGAGGTGCAGTTGGTTGATACTGCGCTAAAGACCCCATATTTTGTATTCAACAAATGATTCATACAGTTATTTGAGGGGCAGGGATAATTGACTAATCATAGTACAGTGGCATCCCGTTAATTCAAACCCGTAGATAATTCAAACTAACACGCAGGTCTCGTCCTCTGCGTTTCTAAAAAGGAAACTCCCGGTAATTCAAACTTTGCATTATTCAAACAAACTTCTAATCCCCCTCCCAGGTTGAAATTAACGAGATTCTACTGTATTATCTCTTATGTAAAACTTTCACTGTTTTGTGAAGGGATGTGTAGCTTTGTCAGAGGTGCAGTTTATGCTCTGCTAATAGGCCAGTTATTTTACAGTAATATCTGTTATGGGCTCCTACCACCACTGAAAGTGACATCCATTGTCGATGTTGTAGCTGTTTATATTATAGTTGTTGTGGTTGATGTTACAGTAGTTGTTGTCAATGATGTTGTAGTTGGCGATGTAGGGTGTCCGTTGTCAGTGTATCCAAATTCTCAAAAAATATCGCCCGCCGCCTGCGAGAATTGAATCTGGATCTTGTAGGAATTCGCATACCGCCGCCGATTCGCCGTTTCCCAGATGGTCCGTCAACAACCCGAGTCCAGCCTGGTTCTCTCTCGGGAGCGGGATTTCGCTCCCCGTTTATTGGTACAATAAAACACAACGCTACAAAACACTCAATCTAAACTACAAATACATGCGACATTACACAAATATTTACAAACATACATTAAGCCCAAAGCTAAACACAAAGAAGGCCCCCAGGCCTCGTGTCCCGTGATTACCCTAGATCTGGTCGCCACCCACTTGCCTGCGTCTCGGTCTCGTCCGGAGTTCTAAGAGGCCCCTCGCCCCCTGGCCCACCGAGTATATATCTCGATCGATGGGCGAGGAGGTTTCTCCTCGCCGGCCACGGGATGCCTGCAGCGCCATCCAGTGGCTAGGAGAGAAAGCGGCACGTCGGGAGCCGAATTGGAGATCCCGATCGACCCTGCCTCGACACGACCATGTGATCGTGTCTGAGGCGAGGCAACTGCATAGCTGCCTCGCGGCCAAGATGGCAGAGTGGTTTGATGGGCGCCCTCGTGAATGCACGGTGCGCCAGAGTCTGCTGCATGCGAAGTGGGGGCGTTACCATTGAACTACGCCACAGTGTTAACAACCCACTCTATACTTGGGATTCTTGTAGTACTCGATGTGCACTCCACGCACACCTTGAAAAAAGAAAATAGCCAGCAACAAAAGGCCTTTGTACGCTCTGTGCAGGAACTATATGGGGCGCTTTGAAAAACGTGCGTAGTGTCGCTAGCGGACGAGCTGGCGTTCAACAGTAAGGCACGTTCAGCAGCCTGCGGCGCCTTTTCGCATGCGAAGCTGCGGCGGCGGAAGCGCGCACGGACGAAACTTTTGCTTTTTGAGCCGATATGTTGAGGGTGACGCTGCATGATTGCTGGGGCAGACCTGAGAAGGGCATCTAGCTGTTCTCCATCTATATATTGAGTTTGAGTCGTTATTAGGGGTAATTTCTCTATTTGCGGCCTAAAAAGGGGGTGGAGCAATTTTCCGAAAAGCAAGACGCCCGGCACCATAATTGCTCTGAGTGGAAAATTTGTTTCGCTCGTCGCTGTAAATTTAGGACTGCTGGAACAATGATATTTGAAGGCGAGTGAGATGTTCAGTAAGTTTGTGCACGAAGTGTGCCAAGTTTCATTAAGACAGCAGGTGTGAAAGTTATGTTTCTAACGAATAAAGAAATAAAGCTGTAAAGGATATCCAATATTGGACCCAAAATGTTGTGTTATAACTGGGCTGTGCGAAGTGCAGATTTGGGCACATAGGTGCTTGGATTTGACAGTAACATGATACAGCACTTATTATACCAAAAAGAAGGTGGCATAGGGAAACCAGGTAGAAATTGTGTTTGGGCAGCGTAACTCGGTGGTAACCGGTTTTGACCATGAAAGGGCTGCCAAGAGAATACCACTTGTCGTGGGAGGTGGAGACTTTACAGGTAGGAAGGGACTAGTGGACTGTACTTCCAATTGAAACAACTTTACGAAAGGTGGTTCTAAAGCCGAGAAAACAAAGTTGTCGGCCAACAGACGGTTTGGCCGTCAAAGGCTTTTGCGGTCAGCTGTTGTGTAATAACCTGTTGCACGAGGTGCTGATTTTCAGCACAGAGGTACTTTGACATGACCGTAACTTGACAGAACTCTTAATAATACCAAAAAGTAGTGGCATAGCGAAACCAAGTGAAAATTTAGTTTCGGTGGCGTAACTAAATAGGAACCAGTTTTGACTGTCAAAAACTGTCAAGATAATACCACTCATCGTGGGAGGTGCACACCTTACAGGTAGGAAGGGACCAGTGGACGGTACTTCCAGTTCGAAGAACTTTGTGATAGGTGGCTCTAAAGCCAAGAAAAAAAAATTGTTGTCTACAGAACTCGGGATGTCAGCGTTTCCACATCCAAAATGAAGCTGATCAGAAAAGAAAGCACACCATATAAACTTCCATACTCAATCGTCGATTCTCCAGTGATTCCGAGTTCCATTGTAGTTTTCCTTAGATTCATATTTGTCACTTTTTGTTTTACCGTTCGAATCTTTCTACATGAAGTACAGATTGCGTGCCATACTTGTCCGTAAATATCATCGACGCGTACGATGGGACGAAACTTCTCTGGAGGGCATTCCTCCAACGAAATTGGCACTGCATACCCGCGAGTGTGGGACGGCATTTCAGTTCGTCCCATCGGCGCTAACACATGTAGGCGTTCCTGGTACGAAAACAAACGCAGAGCACAAAGCCGCAGTGTAGAATATGTCAGCCGTGCCGACACGGTGCAGATATGATCGGAAGACTAAATTTCTCGCGTACTACGGCACGGGTTCATCGTTGTCGCTGTCCCACAACTACATATTTTACATTCTACATATCCTAAACCTTAAGCATGTGCATGCCAAATTTGGTTGTGTTAGGACAATATTGTCAGAAACGACAAATGGCGCGGCGAAGAATAATTGAAGAAACTAAACTTTTAATGAGGCGAACTTGTGCCCAAAATAAAATAGAACATGTTAGCGTCACAGGCGTCGATGTCGGGGCGAAACAGCAGGAGCGCACGCTGGAGCGAGACTGACTGCGGCTTGCCGCGCGCAGTACCTTTTGTAGCCGCATGGGTCTCTGGAACATTTGGTTCGGCGCATAGAGTATTTGTAACTTGATCAGACAAGAAAGTTCTCGAATTTGCGAGAACGCCAAGTAGAAAGAATAAATAAAAGAAGATTCCGCTCCCTGGAATCGAACCCAGATCTTCCACGTGACAGCCAAGCACAGTAACCATTTTGCCACGTATGCGCTCGCTCAGCAGTGCGCGTGGCAATATTAAGAACAAAAATTAATGTGCACAAAAGGTGCTTCAAAATTGCAAAGAGAAAAACGCGTTCGGATTCTACCATAGATGTGCAGCGACTCTTCTGCGATGGAAAAAGGAATGTTTTGTTTTTATTTCTTGTGAAAATTCAAGTCTACGGAAAACACTCAATTTCTCAATTATTAAATTTTTTGTGCGCAGAGAAGGTGGTTCCCAAAATTAATGTGGCTGCGGGCGACGTCACAATTTGATGTGTCATTCACACGAAACTGGCTCAGATTTATGTCTTTCTGGGTCGCAGCAAGTTTCTCAAATACGTATTTTACAAATTTTGTGATCATATTTTATTCTTATTATTTTTGTTTATGCATAAAATATTGTCTTCAGTGACAAATGATGAGGCGGCGAATAACTGGAGAAAGTAAATGTTTAATGGGGCGAACTTGTGCCAAAACAAGATAAGAATGAATGGTGAATAACAGACGTCACAACAGCAGGATCAAGTGCAGGCGAAAAATTGACCTTGGTTTGCTATGGGGAGCTCCTTATGTGCGTGTGTGGGCTTCTAGAACAATCAACATAGAATGTTCACCGCATACCGTAAAATACCGAGCAAGCGCCCACTCAAAATTTAGAGATAATCGCGAAAACAATGGGGAATGAGCGCGTGTGTGGTCATCAATTTCACATATAATTGTACTGTGCATATTTTCTCAGATCTTAGAAGTTTGGGTATGGGCGCTTTATGTGGAATGGGCGGATGCGCGGTATTCTACGGTAGAGTATTTGCACCTTGAATAAGCAACAGAATTCTCGAATACACCAGTATGCGACATTTCCAGAAATAACAAAAAGGTGCATCTGCGTCCAGGCATTGAACCTCGGCCCTTTGCGTGGGAGCCAAGTACGATAACCATTCGGCCCGGGCGCGCTGTTTACTTGGTTAGCTGCGCACGTGGCAATATGGAGGTTCAAAGATAATTAAACACCCTAAAACTCAAAATCACATTTTTTGCAGAATATGGCACAGAAGCTCGCCAGTCGATTTACATGCACCTGTCTGTTTTCAGAGAGGTGATTGGTCCATCATTTGGGGGTGTGCTCTTGGACCTGATTGGCTTTCCGTGGGCCAGCTCTATCATGGCGGCAGGTTCCCTTCTTACGGTAAGCACAATGTTTTTGGCTTCGTTTTAGCAGTTTGTCGTAATATTGTTAACTTCGTGTCTTGTTTTTCATTCTTTGTGGGCCCCTTCTGTACCGTGATAGCAGATTCCAGGGTTCCTGACTTAATTGCATTGAAAAAAAATTAAGTTGGTCTCAGGATTACTGTGAAAGAGACAGGATGTATGCATCATGACATGGTCAAACAAATTTGATAAACGGTATGGCTTGTCTAAAATTAGATACATTATGGATCATTATACCTACGCATGACAGCAGGTTAAACTTCAGAGAATAAAGTTGAAAGTTGTGCTGGTGATTCTCCTGAAGGGATGCTGGATTGCTACTGTTGCACTTAGTTTTTCACTTACTTTGCAAGCATGGTGTTAGTGTAAAGGATTAATGGTCGTGCTATCAAATTTAAGATTGATTGAGTTGCTCGTGTTTTATTAATAAGGAAAAGAATAGGGTTTAATATTATCGGATTTAGGTCTGAGCTCAGGAACTGAGTAAATTGTTAAACAAAGTTACCTTGGTTTTGTTTTTGTCCACCTTCCTGATCGCTAGTATACCCAAAAGGCCCTACGCCAAATTTTCACAAGGTGGCATAGGAACCCATTGCTACATTCTGAGGACATCCTTTTAAAACGTTATGTTGAATGTTCAGAAAATACTGATGTAACATTCATTCTGTTTTTAGATATGTAGGTGTAGCACACAGTTAAAAAAATATTCCTTTGAGAGTTAAGTGTTCTTTTTAAACGAATTCGATATACTCACTCATTACAAACAGCGTTATATTTTCTTGTGTACTATCACGGCCAATATGAGCTGAAACACTGCCTCACGTGGCACGCAGTACTATCAGAGGAGCCGCCTGCTGCATTTTTCTGGAAACTGCGATGCATGCTGAGGCCAAAACAGCTCTTTTCCGGCACTCGTTGCATCACTCAGCACTTCCTTGTCATCCGTTACTGAGGCGGCAGTTCTCAGCTGTGGCTGGACTCTCCGGATGAACCCCTGGATCCGCAGTTTCTCGAAGCTCCCACTTCAATTGGAAACGGTTCACCAACAGAGCTGCGACGAGCTAGGAGTTCTCCTCATTTCGGGTAGCTCGAAAATGTCTTTGATGTGTCGCACCAAAGACATTTGCGTGGTGCGCCAATTATGCGGTTCACAGTCACCAGCGACCTCCTCTATACTATCGCTCTTTGCCAATACTTTTTGGTGCTTAGATGTCCGATGCACTTCTATCAACCCCCTCGAATTTTTAGGATATGTCTGGTGAATACAGAGAAAAATCTGTGACTGAGAAACTTAACTGTGGACTGAATAGTATTGCGTAATCATAAGTCAGCGCTGTTAAGAATGGAACCTTCGGCGACCTTCTTCCGAGTTTCGACGCTGCGGAAACGAGTCAAGACGAGTCCGGGACTGTCGCCCGCTTGTCGGGGCCTGCGCGAAACGAGTCCTGACGAGTCCGGGACCGTCGCCTGCGTGACGGGGCCTGCGGCAACAAGTCTCAACGCGTCCGTGACGTCAACGGGACGTGTGTGTGCGTGTGGGTCCGTGCGCTCGGGAAAGGGAGAGAGAGGCATGGCCTAACTGCGGAGAACTTTGGCTACGTCGCACTGGGCGGCGGACTTTGCTGCATCGCACTTGACGGCGGGTTGCTGCATTGCACTGGCTGCCCTGGCGGGGAGTGAGGGAGAAAACGGACCCTATATAAGGTGGAGCGTGGGGCTGCTCCGTTGTTCTCTCGGATTTGACGACTGTGTCGCTACCATGTAATTAAACCGTTTGTTACGTTACCAATTCTTCTACCTCCACTGGACCCCTGGGTTCTTCACTTCGGGGAATGGACGTCGTCTTGAGCCAGGAAGCTTCCGGACGTACGGCTCAAACCCCGCCTCGAACAACTGGTTGGCAGCGGTTGGTATCAGACCATGCGACATCGTGCTACATCTGTGGGTGAGCGTTTGGACTTTGCTTTGAGATTCGCCAGGCTTCAGATTATGAGTAATTAATTTTGAACTGCTGGGAATCCTTAGTTTTGACTCGTGCGCTAGGTTTTTGTACAACCTCGCGACAAGTTTTAGAACAAAGCCAAAGCTAAAAAGCAGCGATCATGGATCTAATGAGGTTACTGAGAACATATTTACTCTGTTTATGTGAAGAATTGTGTGTGGAGGTGGAGCAAAAGATTAAGAAATCTGAGATCAGTAAAGCAATTTCAGAGAGCGCGGAAGCAGAGGATATTAAAATTGCGTGGGAATTACTTCAGAACGCTAAAAGTGAAGCTGCGGCGAGAGAGGAACGAGCGCAGGCTGCAGCAGCAGAGGAACGAGCGCTAAAAAGGCTAGAGCTCGAAATTGAACAACAGCGATTAAACTCGCAGAACAGTAGAGTTGGGGCTCCGGTACGAGCAAGTGAGACCGAGTCGTATCAAATGAAGAAGCTCCTGCAGCCGTTTAAAGTTGGGGAAGACGTGGGCCTATTCTTAGATAACTTTGAAAGGTCATGTGAGAAGTTGAGCTTCGCCCCAGAAACGTGGCCGCAACGGCTTTTGACTTTGTTGCCCTGTGAGGCTGCAGAGGTTGTCGCGCGCCTTAGTACTAGAGACGCGGATGACTACGACAAGGTGAAGTCGAGCCTTTTGAAGCGGTATCGCCTTTCTGCCGAGGCGTTCCGTTAAAGGTTTAGAAACGCATCCAAAAAGAGCAGCGAGGGCTACTCGGAATTCGCGTACGGGCTTAAAACCAATTTGATATAATGGTTGAAGAGCGAGGAAATGTACGAAAGCCGAGACAAGGTAGTCGAGTGTGTGTGCCTCGAACAGTTCGTTCGTAGCATTCCGCAGTCAGTCAAGCTCTGGGTGCAGGATAGGGTGGGAGTCGACTCCGTCGAAAGGGCCGCTGAGCTAGCCGAAGAGTACGCAACGCGTAGAAAGCTGAGCGGAGAGGACAGCGAACCCGGCCGGAGCGATCAGCGCAAGCCCTTCCAACAGGGAAACGGCTCGCGAGAAAAAAGGCCCGAGAAGCCAGAAACAGGACAAAAGGTCCCAGAAAAGAGCGGAGATCCCTCGAACGGAGACGAGGCACGGGAAAGCCAAAAAGGGCAGTTTGAGGCAAGGAAGCCGTTCCTGTGCTACAACTGTCAGGAGCCGGGACACACAGCGGCCAGGTGTAACAAACCGCGGGTTGTGTTCTCGTACGTGAGCGGTAGTGACGGGGACCTGGAGCTTCTTCGTCCCTATCTTCACGAGCTCCAGGTAAACGGAAAGCCGTGCAGGGTGCTGCGGGACAGTGCAGCGACGATGGACGTTGTTCATCCGTCGTATGTGACGACATCCGACTTTACTGGAAAGGTAGTTTGGATCAAGCAGCTGCTCGAGAAGCACAGTGTCTGTCTGCCTATGGCGAGAGTAAGGATAACTGACCTGTTCGGAGAGCTAGTGACAGAGGCGGCTGTCTCGCAAACAGTCCCGTTGGAGTATCCCTATTTGTTTTCTAACCGGTCAGATTTCCTGCTGCGCGAAAGGGGTCAACAACTGGGAGGAGGACTAGTCCAGTCGTGTACGAGGTCCAAATCGCGCCAGCTCGCCCCTTTGTTAACGAGTGAGCCAGAGCCAAAGGCAGCTGACTGGAAGCAAGCACTCCCAGAGTTGGAGGCAGAGAAACGGGATGAAGGGGACCGGGTTGTAGAACAGCCCGACCTCGTAGCACTAGAAAGCGTACGCCGTCCCAACGCGCCGGCGGAAAAGGCGGAGGAAGACGGGATCATTAAAGGATCTCTCGTAGCTCCGACATCACATAGTTCTGATCGTCTGTTGCGAGTAGACAGTGTCTCTGACAGTCGAGCGGAAGAGCGACCCTAGTGTGTCAGGGTTTCGCGGTACTGCTCAGGAGATTGCTAGGACCAATGTGACGGGGCATGAAAAAGGTGAATTGTTTTATCGGCGCTATAAGGGACCGCATTTTCACGTCTAGAAATCACGTGAAAATCGATCACTATGACTTCAGTGTAAGAAAGAGGAAAGGCAAATTTAGCGGCAATGCCGATAGGTTGAGCAGATTTTTCTGATATCACCAAAAAGAGTAGGGATGATCTCAGAGGTTTTCGTCATCCACGGGAATGAGGATCTAAGTGGGGGCACTTCGTTAAAACCCCAAAATGACCTCACAAATCGCGAAGAGTTTTTGTCTTTTGTATTTTGCTCATAGTGACCTCGTTGGAAAAATGAGTTTTGCTTTGGCGACAGCGGGTCTCGATACTCGAAATTGTCCTAAGGTTTTAAATTGCATTGTTTTGGCAAATTTTGGTAATCCGTAATCCAGTCTGGCGGGTCTCTGGCGGATTCCGAGCGTTTGACTGCGGTGTGGCGTGGTGTTGTGGGGGACGTTTCCGCTGATGCCTCCGTTGTGAGAGGTTTGGGAGTTTGCTTAGTGCTTGCAGCATCTTCTCAAGGCCTACTCCAAACCCACCTCTTCAGGCCAGCGATAGTATTACCGGCCATTCGAGGTTTCCCTGGCCCCGGAGGGGCTGTTAAGAATGGAACCTTTGGCGACCTTCTTCCGAGTTTCAACGCTGCGGAAACGAGCCAAGACGAGTCCGGGACTGTCGCCCGCTTGTCGGGGCCTGCGCGAAACAAGTCCCGACGAGTCTGGAGCCGTCGCCTGCGTGACGGGGCCTGCGGCAACAAGCCTCAACGCGTCCGTGACGTCAACGGGACGTGTGTGTGTGCATGTGGGTTCGTGCGCTCGGGAAAGGGAGAGAGAGGCATGGCCTAACTGCGGAGAACTTTGGCTACGTCGCACTGGGCGGCGGACTTTGCTGCATCGCACTTGACGGCGGGTTGCTGCATCGCACTGGCTGCCCTGGCAGGGAGTGAGGGAGAAAACGGACCCTATATAAGGTGGAGCGTGGGGCTGCTCCGTTGTTCTCTCGGATTTGACGACTGTATCGCTACCATGTAATTAAACCGTTACGTTACCACCTCCACTGGACCCCTGGGTTCTTCACTTCGGGGAATGGACGTCGTCTCGAGTAGGGATGCCGCAAACTTTTTTCGAATCGAAGTTTCGATGATCGAATCAAGCGGTTCGAAAGATTCGAAAGATTTCGATTTTTCGAAATGTCTACATCGTAAAATTCGACGGAAGTCGAATTTTCGAACTTGCTAAGCTAAGAAGTTCGACGCTTTTCGAATCGTTGAACTTATTACGCTAAAAAATCCGATCTTTTTCTAACTTTCAAACTTATTGCGCTGCAAAGTTCGATGCTTGTCGAACTTTCGAACTTGACTGACCAAAAAATTCGATGAATTTGGAACTTTCGAACTTATTTATCAAGGGAATTCGAAAAGTTTCGAACTTTCGAATCCTGAAAAGTCAGAAGTTCGACGAACTTCGAACTTTTATTGTAAAAGTTTGACGTTCGTCGAACTTCGAAAGACCGGCGGACGGTTTCATTTGAATTCAAGTAGTGAGGTACATTCGTAATTTTTTTCTTCTCGAACTTTTACACGCGGTGCTGCGTTCCTTACGAAAGACAATGCCGTTTGTTTCAATGTTCTGGCATGCTTAGTTTTAAAGAAATAAATTCCCGAAGGGGCGAGGAAGGACGACGGGTTTTTGACGATTATCGTTTGTGCCAGACTTGAAGCGCGCTGTAGCCGAAGCTATTTATGGTAGAGATGTTATACTTCTTTAAGAATGATCTATGTATAGCCTAGGTAAGTGCCGTCTTAAGATGTGATTATTGTTATTCAACGTGAGTTTTGAAGAAATGTCCAAACATGTATCTACATGCAATTATGCCCTAAACTTGATACTTATTTTCGTCTAAGTTGTTTGAGGTATCGCATTTAAATTAACATTACGGACAGTACATATCATTGCCATCTGCAGAATACAAAATAATGTATTTATTGTTTTTTTCACGTAATTAACTCATGGGAGAAGATTTCTAATAGTGTTCAAGTTCAGCACGTCATTAAAAGAAAACATTTTTTTTTTTTCGCTTCACGTTCCTGGGAAGTATTTCTTTTAGCCCGTACACATTTTGGTAAAAGAAACTTGTTTCGAAGTTCTGAACCTCTGAATATGCAAGAATACAACACTTCCGGTGAATTCTTGATAGTTTTTTTTTTTCCAGCTTTTTATCCCCGCATTTTTTTTTTTTTTTTTTACTAATGGCACAGGTATTTAGGTTGAAAAGGCACAGCTTTGAACTTCCGAACCACTAAGCATGTGACGAGTAGTGCCTTCTGACAACGAGTTTCTAACAATGACCATCTACGCAATCTTTTATGCAGTGAAGAGCGACAGTAGCTATACATGTGCATAAATAATTTCAGATTAAAATTAGCTCGACCACGCCCTCTTTCCCCGTATTGTTTTCTTTAACAGTCCGAAATATCTGGAAAGGAAGAAGGCAACCGAGGCCCCCCCCCCCCCCCCCCCCCCCCCGCTACCCTCTTTCCCCCGTTTTTCTTCTTCCGACGCCACTTGTATGGTAAAACGCTCCTCGACCTCGAGTTGTGTCGGCTTTTTGCGAGGCGATTGCTCCGTTCCTGAAAATAAACCTCCAGAACAATTACAAACTTAACTTACTATATGCCAGCGTCATTTGGGCGGCGTTCGATCGGATTACTACCAGCGTGCAGGGGGTGGCGAGGTAGTTTGCCAGGTCGCTACAAGGTTTTTCTGAGCCTCAACCAACTTCTCGCCCCTGGCCGTTTCGAACTGGATGAGTCTCGTAAAACAGTCTGTTTGTGTGATCACTACTGCGTGATGCAGGTTAAAGTCCCCCCCCCCCGGGCTGGCGGTCACAATTACTGATCTATGGTCACACGTCACTCTGCACTACCAAATATTCCAGCACCATCCGGGACACTCGTTGTCTCATTTAATTGCCTGACCAACTTCGCAGAATCTAGATATCACACCCTAACTTTTCTAAACTTGATTTTGTGAAAACCAGTGAGTCGTGAAAACGTTATTTGAAACAAAATGTTGAGGAACTTGAAAACCGGACTTCGAACTTTGAAAGCTTGGACTAAAAAAAAATTTAAAAACTTCGAGTTCTTTTTTTTTTTTTTTTTTCGAATTTAGCGTTAAAAGAGAATCGAAACCTTTGAACTTTTCGAACTTTATGCAGAAAGAAATTCGAAATCTTCGAATTGTTTGAACTTCATGTCTATAAAAATTCGAAGCGTTCGAAGATTTCGAATTTAATTTCCAAAGAATTTCGAAATCTTCGAATTTATCGAACCTGAAGTAAAAAAATTTTCGAAATATTTGAATCCGAAATTTTAGAAACCGAGAAAGCTGCGAACTTTTTGAATTCGAAACTCCACTGAGATCGAAAGTTGCGAATTTTTCGAATTCACTTTGCGATAGAGTTATGCCGTGTCATGCATAGGTTTATGACTTGAATAAACGAAGGGATATCGCCTCCTCTTTCTTACTAGCAGACGACACGGTGGCGCAGTGTGTCCCAACAATCGCCGAAGTGGTTATCTTGGCGTCAGCGTGCGTCACAGCTTGTAGAAAAGTATGACAGGCAACTCTGATAGTACCGTATTTACTCGCATAATGAACACACTTTTTTTTTTTTTTTTCGGAAAATTGACACATATTTGAAGGGTGCATTCATTACGCAGGGTAAAATTTTTGCATTTACACACTTCGTGAAAATGTCATATTAGGTGTCAATATGACACGGCAAGGGACTGGGCACGTCTCCACCGATGCAGGCTCACCCACGGCTGGTTGGGGGCGTGCCACAGTAACCATGCTTTATAAATTGCGAACCTTTTTAAAGCACTTTCGGTGTGCTTTTTGCTGAAGGAAAAGAGCCTTACAAAGCTTACTCAGCACGGAGAGCGACACGACCATTCTTAGGCCTAAAGTCCAAATATTTGTACACATTCGGGGGGTGCGTTCATTATGCGAGTATATACGGTATTGCGTGTCACGCGGAGCAGCGTCTCGGCTCGTATTGGCAACTCACATGCATCGAAGTAAAACTGAGTGAACATGTGGCTTAGTATTAGTATTCTTGAATAAACCTTATTCTTATGTATATTAAACCATTGACAAATGCATATCTGTCCCAGGCCCTGATGGCTACGCTGTACTGGTGCTGCGCGTCACGCAACGAGTCCGAGTCCTTCTGGAGTCGAAGGCGCCGGATTTCGGACAGTGGCATCGAAGACAGCCTGGAGGCCGAAATTGCCGGAGAAACCACGGCCCTCCTGGGAAGCAAAAAGCACGACGTCCGCTACAACTCTCTCTGAAGATGCTCAAGGTCACGTTATGCAGTGGAGATGTCTCGATGTCTTATTGCTTCGGCGATGTTTTTGGGGAATCCGACGCTAACCAGACTCGCCCCCCTGTAGCGTGCCACGTGGGTCCTGCACGGATCCCGAAGGTACCCAGATAGCCCTATGCAAAGGTGGCACGAGCCATGCATCTTGCACCACCTGGGCAGTTGTCATACTTATCACGTGGCAATTGCCTTTTCCGCACGTACCGCGGCGATTTCAGGCCATAAGCTCAATTTTGTTTTTCCTAATCTGTTTCTGTGTTTTGTATTGTTGTTGCAGTGTGGCCCGCCAAATATATAGAACTTTTTGTAAGGTATTGTTACAAAGATTTTGAATGTATATTTAAATTTTTGTTGCATAATATATGAATAGGTGTGGAGTCGGCTCTAAAAAGATTAGTTCAAGTTACCGACTGCCAGAGCAGTTGTTGCGAATACACCAAAGCCTGGATTGGCGTGAATTATCATTTGCAAAAAAAATTGTATTTTGATGAATAGCTTGCTTTTGAGGGCAACAGATCACACGCAAGATGGCCCTTCTTGTTATAATAGATGAGGTGTTCCCAGTGATATATGTTTTATTTTTGTTTCTGAATATTACGTAAATGTTTTGTTGGTTGCTCTTGTAGACATGACCTGTTTGCTGACAATGTGAATTTGCACGTAGAAATCAGGAAATCCATACCGTTCGTCTCTCAGCCTTCCCTGTTCAGCATATTAAAAACTGTCAGTGACATTGAAACACTGAACTATACAAAGAAGATATTACCGCTCCCAACAACAAAGCATAAAAAGGACCCATGTGCACAATCACGCATAACCATGAAATGTCCAATACGAACTGCGGCGTTTCAAAAGCACACTTTGGGAATGACTGCCATTTGTTGACTTCCACTGTGCTGCAAAGGTGGCACCCGCCAGGCATTCGCTCTCGTGGGCCCGCGAAAGGCTCTGGTATCTTTTACACCGGGCTGGTGGAAGGCCTATGAATTGTTTTTACTGGGCCAGCAAAATGCCAGGCAATCACTTTCATTGGGCCTGTGAAAGGCCTTGCACTCCCTTTTGTGGGCCGGTAAAAAGGCCTGTCAATCCCTTTCCCTGGGCCAGCAAAAGGCCTGGCAATTCATTTCGCTGGGCCTGTGAAAAGCCTTGCAATTTCTCTTGTGAGCCTGTGAAAGGCTCTTCAATCCCTTATGCCAGGACAGTGGTTGGCAGCCTTTTGCTGGCCTGGCATTCACTTACTTGTGCCAATCTCTTTTAGTGCTGACTGTTCAAATTTTATGCATGTTTTTAAGAAAGCATTCATTTGGGTTTGAGGCCATATCTGGAGGTAGCTATCACGAATTAATGAGCCTGAAATTACCACGAAAACAATGTGTCGTCTTGGCTAGTGTTTTTATAGCAATAGCATTCTGCGTACTTCCTTTGAGATCAGAAATGCACAAGGCTCATTTGCCTTCATATGTTTCTTGATGAGGCTGGATAGGTCTAATCGCGAGCGGTATGGCTGCTCTTACAAGAGGTTGATACATAGATTGTAATTTTGAGTATGAAATAAAATAGAAAGTTTTCAGCACTACTGATTGAGCCTCGCTCACATTATATGTGATCTCGTCTGAGTCATTTTTTGTCTGTTTACATTTATCTTTCAATCATATCTGTGGTACTCAGGGCTGTGTTGTAATTGAAAGCATGATAATAAAGTGGCGCTAATGAGTATGGAATGCTATTGTGGACATTTGTCGTCGCACCTGAGACTGTCCTTTCTAGTATCTTCTCTGAAATGGCCTTATGATAGTCACAGTGATCGCCAGGCCAAAGTGCTAATCCTGCTACATCCTACTACATTTCATTGAAATGAGAGGAATTTGCACCAGTGGCTCATTTCACAATACAGAAACTAATAGTACAGGCATGGCTATACTGCCGGATCGTTCCGGTAAGCTTGCGTATCGAGCATGACTTAGTGCTTCGGAGTTTCATAATAGTCTAATCTCGTTAATTGAAACTCTCTTTATTCAAACTTCGGGATAATTCGAACTAACATGCCTGTCCCAACCTATGTGTCTCTATGGGAGGTAACACCCGATAATTCAAAGTTTGCTTTATTCAAATAAATTTTTGGTCCCCCTCGAGTTTGAATTAACGAGATTTGACTGTATTTCCCATTGTTCATTGTCTGTTCGAAGGACTTGATTCTCCGTTGAGCGTGCTTCTTGCCGTGCTTTGGTGCACTGCAAAGAAGCGACGCCCATGGGGTAGTCATCAAATCAAATAAAAATGTTTGACATTGATTTCACAAGGTGTTGGGTATAGTACAGACAAAAGCCACCAAAATGCAGCTTGACTGAATACACAAACTCATCTCTGTTACGTCACGGCGCGGTAATGGCGCGTCGGACGCACTTGCGGTCCGGGGCTGTGGGCGGAAGTGCCCATGTAAGACGTGTATTCCTGCGTTGTTTTGAAAGGAACCAGACAAAAACCTGCCTTCTCGTCAAAATGCTGCGACTGGGGCTCTATAAAAAGAGTCGAGAAAGGTTTGAAGGTCAGTTTTCATGCGCTCAGTTCGTCCGAGAACGTGGATATGTGCCGTGAAAAGGGAAAACCAGACGCCATCAGACCACGATTGCTTGGGTGGGAAGTACTTTGGGTTGAATTCACAGATGCTTCTGGCCGCCAGATTTATTTGTTTTGTTTTTAACATGAACGCCGTAAAACCGTCAAGTTGTATGGACCACCTGAGGACTACATTGAGTGCGTCTTCAAGTTCAAACGGCCGCCTGATCGTTCGAACTGTCGTCTGCTCTTTCAAACGTTTCTGCTTGTCGTCTGCTCTTTTAGAGGACACCGGCCCGTATACCAAACGTGGGCCCGGTACTTGCGATAAGAAGTAAGTGCAGGCCTCAAAAGACTTAAGTTTGAAGGTTGGTAAGCAGGCTCGACGTAAACAGTAGATACAAGGAGATGTTGATCATTGTTACCAGTGGCCGTCACCAACTTGTTATGCCTGATTCACTTGATTAGATCCTGCTTGCGATTTTCAGTATCGACATCGACCATCTCAGCTACGGTTCACGCTTTTGCAGCCCGAGCGACGTCGCTACTGAAAATTGCGAGCGAAAGCAAACGCTTTGATTCAATAAAGTCGTGGAACGGTAATGATATACATCTCAAAAAGGGAAATGAGAGTTCCAAAATCGTAGTCAGTGTGTTCTCATCAATATCTTCATTGCTAAATTTAAAAAAAAGTATCTTGAAAGTAACTAAGTAACTATGACGAAGTAGCTAACTGTAACGCATTACTTTTATTTTAGAGTAATTGTAGCTATAACTAATTACTTTATCAAAAGTATCTTACCCAAGCCTGGCTGACAGTGTGGTGGAATCTACGTGCTCGTCGATACCTCCGTCTTTCGCCACGTGATCACGCTCCCCTTCACGCGAAGAGAGCGGGCGCAGGTGATGAAGAAAGCGGTGCTACTCATAGACGATGCTCAGGATGAGTCTGCCGGATGGTCCCAGAGAAAGACCAGTGAAAATAAACGTCTCTGATGTCTGTTATTACCCTCAAACAATTTCAAAGCTCTTTCTTTTTTCCTCGCGTGCCAAATCATGGGGATGAGGACGATTCGTCACATGCGCATTCGTCACAGGACGATTGGTCACAGGATGATTCGTCACATAGGAACATTTGTCACAGGATGACTCGTCATGCGGGCAACTGGTCTCATTGATCGAGCAGGGGACGATAGTAAATTGTAAATTTCAACATCTGCCCACATACCCTGATGAGGAGTTTCACAATTTTCCACTGTCACGTAAACCAATGGTTATATAAACTAATATTACAATACTCATCCGCTTTTCCTTTCATTATATTACGGGTCTTCAGCAGGTTGATCTCAGTTGCAGGCTTGAACGAGCAATAATCCGACTGGCAGCCAAATTAGTTTTTAGTTTTGCCTTGCATACACCTTATTCGACAAAACCAACAAGTATCGGAATTCCTTCTGCCGAATGTGTACGAGTACCCCTCGTGCAGCATCATGGCTCTCTCTGTTGCGATCACCTCCATCCTTTTGAATGTAGTTCAAAAATAGTCGCTCTTCTATGGCCTCCGCATTCACCGTTCAGGACGGACCCAGATAGCTAGAACGTCTGTTACAAATTCTTTGACCTCGAGAAGCGAAAGACATGCTAAGATAAGAGGTGACCGACTTTCTGAGGCCCAACCAACATTCAATGTTCGGGACCGAATCAGAAGCTAAAACGTTCCTTACAAATTCTTCGCCTTTGTCCGCCCGAACCAAATTGAACAATACATTTTTGGGGGGACGAACTATTGTGAGACCGGTTGGCCGCGTGACGAGTCATCCTATGACGAATGTTCCTGTGACCAATCGTCCTGTGACGAGTGTGCATGTGACGAATGGACCGTATCCCCAAATCATGTTACCGCCGAGCAAAAGACTAGTCTAATAAACTTATCGATGTTTATTCGTTACAAATCTAGCGGTAGGCAAATTTTGCGTCCGCTTCAATCCCTAGGTCGTCTTTCTCGCCGTGTATCTCTCTACTCTTGGACGAGACACCGCGGGGGGAGACGAGGTGTTTATTCTGCCACTAGGCCAGTGATCTGGGATGATGCCCAATATCCTAGGCGTGCGGCAAAGACTCCTCGGGTCAAGGTTGGTTCACACTCTTGCTTCTAGTCGGATTGAGTGCAACTGCAACGGATTGCGACGTACGGGCTGCTGTGGCGACAGTTGCGTCGGCTCCACCAAAACGGTATAAAAAGCGGTTTTGTTGGAACGAACCCAGCTGTTGCCATGGCAACCCGTACGTCGTAAGCCGTTGCAGTTGCATGGGTCGGACTCGACGCAAAGGTGTGAATCGTTCTTCAGGAGCTGGACTTGCGTGCGGAGTCGTAGAAAGCCACGACACTTCCTTTACGTGGAGCACACAGTGACGCGCTAGTAGCACGGTACACGCCGGCTAGAAAAAGAAACAGGTCCCGCGAAGCTTGCGACATATGATAGCGTATCGCGATTGCTCCGGCCCATGCGCGATTTCTGCCACTTTAAGAAAAAAGAATTAAAAAAGGCACGTAATTTTTTTATTGTAGAACGACCAGTTTGCTCAGTTCCTTTATTTCTGACCACCCCCGTGGGTTTTTACGCTCTGTAAAATTAATGAAGTTGTCAGCTATATATGTGAATGTACACGCCCAATTCTCGGCACTGCGGTAGCGCCGAGAATGAGGCGTGTACAGACACTCCCCCCCCCCCCCCCCCCTCCTTCAGCCCCCTTACCCCCCACAGCGGCCTTGTGCCATCCTCCCTCTCAAACAGGGGCGGATGCAGGAATTTCCTGAGGGGGGTGGGGGTCAGGTGTTGGCCAGCGTACCATACGTTTAGGAACCCCCTCCCCCTCCCCCTAGTTTCACGTCCTAAATTTTACACATGCAAAAATCAAAAGGGGGGTCAGGACATCCGGACCCCCCCTCTAAATTCGCCCCTGCTCCCAAAGGATCATAAATAAATAAATCTCAATCGTCTGTTTCTTCCACTCGTAGGAAAGACCAACACACGTCGAGAACACAGTCCACTTCATCAGACTCGCTTCGGACCTGCAATTGAACGACGACGAGTGCCTTGTTTCCTTTGATGTGGTATCTCTCTTCACGAGTATTCCCATCCGACTCGCGGTGTTTGTTATCAGAACGGCACTCACGTCAGACACGACTCTACCTGAAAAAACTCACCTCTCGGTGAATGGGATATGCCAGCTACTAGAGCTATATGCCTGACGAACACCTACTTTTCTTTCGCTGGTCGCGCTTCTACAAGCAAAGTAGTGGCACAGCCATGGGTGCCGCTGTGTCCGTCACGGTAGCGAACCACTATGGAAGCCATCGAGCAAAAAACCCTAAGCGCGTTTTCTCCCATACCCACCTTGTTCCTACGTTATGTGGATGGTTGCTTCTGTGTTGCCAAGACCAGTGAAGTCCATCGCCTTCACAAACACCTCAGTTCCATACATCCAGACATCCAATTCACGGTCAAACGTGAGTCCAACGGTTGCCTCCCATTTCTGGATGTGTCCGTGGAAAAAACAGGGAACCTTTTCACCTTCGGAAAGCAACGCACACCGGTCGCTACCTACATATTTTTCTTCAGACCACCCCACAACTCAGAAATCCTCTGTGGTGTCGGCGCTCTTTCGACGAGCCCTCACGGTCTGCTCAACAAAGGAGTCACTAAAGATGGAAGTCGATCTTATAAAATGAGACCTTCGAAAAAAAACGGTTTAGACGAAGTCCTCCCGCATCTGTCGCACTCTTCTGATCACCCACCGAACAAGGCTCATCAAACGATGGACCCCGCAAGACGCCACTGGGCAGTCATCATCTGTTCACCCAAGGGACGAACCTTTACTATGGGTAACGCGACTTTCGAGAGCCAGCTGTAGCTAAAAAAATTACACCATCTTCCCGAGGGGAACCATAAGGGTGATGCGGAGCATCGCGGATCGTTATTAACGGTGTTATTAACGGTGTTAGTAACGTTGTTAGTAACGTTGTTGACTTGCGTGTTATTACGTTAGTTTGTGGGGTGGTGCTGACGCTTGCCTGCGTCAACCCACTAACTGACGGGACTGTTGCTTCCATCACACTTCATCGGGAGAACGGAGTGAAGTGGAGTCAACAGCGG